GCCTCCATTTAAACGTTTCAGTTTACGTGCGGTTGCATTGATTGTGCGTGGCATCCTGAAAGTTTGCTCTACTCCAGCGCACCGAAGCTAGCCTAGTTGCAGTGTGCGCGCGCGCGCGCACTCTCCAATCACTGGCGCATGCGCAAATTCGATTGTGTTGCGCCAATTGAGTTGCATGTGACTTTTTTTTTCTTCGAAATTATTTTCATTTTCATTTGAGGCACTTTTACTGCTGCTGGCAAAATGCTGACTACTTGAACTGTTAGCAGACAAATGTTACGTATATAATAAAAATCTTGTAATGTTTGCGCGTATTTAATGCGCATAAATGTTAAGTTTTTCGTATACTATTTTTACTTTTTTTCTATTTTTTAGCTAGTTTTGCAACAAAATACAAATTAAACTGGTTCTACGGGTGTGCGCTGGTCAGCAAATGGCTTTCAATGCATGCGGGCGCACTTACATACATGCATACATACATACATACATACATACATACATACATAGGTATATGAAATTGTCAGTTATCGCATAGATATGTGATGCAGTACAATTGAAAGCAGGAAATGCCACAGCATCTGTGCAGTCGCCCGACTTTTGTTTAGCCGATTGAGACAAAAAACATAAAAAATTGCAATTGGAGCGCGTGCAATAAGTGCATCCACTGCAGCAATAATGGTTTTTTTTTTTTTGAATTTCGCATGATGACGAGTATGAGTAAAAATAGTGCTGTGAAATTGGAGATCACCAGTCGCAAGCAATAGAGTATATTAAGTTTAATCAAGTTTAAATTGTTATTGAATGTAATCTAGTTTGAAACAGTATAACAATTCACTGAAAGTATAATATATAAGTATGTAGGCATAGGTATGTAATATGTGCGTGTAAAACACTGTAGGCGTAGTTATAAAAATCATCAAAAAATAATAATTGTTTTCAAGATGTCGATAGATCACTCCCTAAAAAGCTTTACAAAATATAAAAAAAACTCGTCAACTAAAAACCCTCTAATGCACAAAAGAAATAAATAATTGGTGCTTACTTTTTGTTAAGTGTTTGGCCGAGCTTTTCCTCAAATTTGTGGTGTGGGTCCTGATGCTCCAACACAAATGGAGGGAGCTACAGTTTTATGCCACCTCCGAACGGCAAATGGACGTTGTGAGAAACTTTGCCAAAATAGTAATAAACCCGGAGGTTTAGTAACAAAAAAAAAGCGTGAGTACCAGGCACTCATAAAATATCTGTGTACGGTTTGGCGTGACATTAATTACCTATCGACGGACGAGTGGAAGATCGACCTATCTTGGCAGCCGAACGATAACGCCAACAGAAAATATGTTGAGATAGATGATTTTTAGACCAAATTCTGAAATAAAGCGTTCTTCAATCAAATTCTGAGATAGGGCGTTCTCTAAAAGTTTTCGAACCGGCTACCGAGATAGGTCGATCTTCCACTCAGCCATTTATATAAACGGTTCTGAACTTGTCCCAAAATAGTCCTGAACTACTCTCAAATTATTCCTAAATAGCGCTGAAATAATCCCGAACTAGCCAAGGAATGCTCCTAAAATAATGTCGAAATGATTTCGAACAAGTCTTGAAACGATCTCAAATTCGTCCCTTATTAGGCCCAAAATGAAGCCGAGCTAGTCTGAAATAGTCCTGATCTAGTTCCCCACTTTTGCCAAAATAAACCCGCACTAGTCCTAAAATGTGCCAGAAATGGCCCTGAAATAGTCTTGAAATGGTCCAGAACTATTCCGAAAATGGTCCTCAAATAGTAGTGAAATTAGTCCAAAAATGGTCCTGAGCAGGTCCTGAAATTATCACGACTCGTCCTGACCAATTACAAATACATATTTTGCTGGGTTAGCGCAGGTTTTGCCCATACCGAGGACACATAAAAAAACCTTTTTCTTATATAGATGCTGCTCGAACCAGGGATCGAACCCAGTTCCTAAAAAGTGATAGTGTGCCCTTATAAACACACGACTACAACGGAAAGCTATTGCTCCAGTAAGGGTCAATCTTCCATTTTTGAAGTTCACTCACATACCTCATAGAAGTGACTTTGATTCGGTGCAAGAATCCCATTTTAAGCAACGACGAGATTCACGTCTTACCTGATTGATCTTAAATTATAACGGGAGTAGAGTCTGGGGTCCCCTCTCAGTAACTTTCATTGAGTAAGGACTACAGACTTGCACACGAATGTAGTATTTTTCAACTTTGCATTTCAAAAGCAAAGCAAAGTTAGTGAGCGTGACAGCCTTTATACCCTCAAAACTCTACTTTGTTGTAGACAGTCTCTCAGGAATTAAGATCCTTATGATGATAACGATATGCATTTTGAAATTTGGTAGATGTTTGTGATTTTTTAGGTAGACACCTACAAGAAATGAGGAAATTATATGGCAGATGTTTGAGCATAGACTAGGTTTATCGATTCCAGACATACTATCTGGCAATACAAATTTGAAGAGAATGCTAAACAGGCTATTAACTCATGATTAGTCAAGCCATCGGTCGAAAAGCGAAGTAGACAAAGTTTTCCGAGGTACTCATAAACTCCTTCGCGGCATTACCAGCGTAGAACTGACCCATTTAACTACAAAAATGCACTTCAACTTCCTGGGGAATCATTTTTGCAATGACCTGGACAGCTTTAACGCTGGCGGTCTCATATAGGTTTCGGTAAATCTTGACAAGAGCAGATCGTCCAACTTCACCTAATCTAGCTTAAACATAAACTTTGGATAGAAATATTTGAAACTAGTTAGTTGATTATAAAATGTATAACTGATTCTATAAATATATTCTTATTTGCTTTACAAGCACTTTCTCTGTGCTGTCAGAATGTTGGAGTTGTTCAACAAAACCTAGAAAAATGGACATACTTACCTCAGAACTCTCAGCGCGGCTTTATGTACCCTAGTTAATAGGAATGAGGCAAAGACCTGCCTGCAACACACAAACTGCCTTTTGTATTGGAACACCAGTCACTGTCTAAATACTTAAGAACAAAGAATAAAGCTTCGACCTCAAGGCAAAAAATAATTATTGTCAACAGATTAAAAATCCTTTGCGATCATTCGATTCTTACGTCAGATCTACGGTCCGGTAAATAGAATGAGCAATATGTAAAGTTTTAAAATGATATGAAAACTCCAATATATGCGCCTGCTTGGTCAAGTCAAACGTATGGGCAAGATCAAAGTTTCGGTCGCACACACTAGAAGTACAAAGTGCGGAAAGATCTGTCTATGCAGTGAGTTGTGCGCTTAATAGTGCAGAGCAGGACTGGCTAATCAGACGATGGTCACTGGGTGGTGGGCCTACTGTTGGAGGGCATAGGATGTTCGGAGGTATCACTGTATCCCTCTTGCCCTATGCATACACTACAATTTAACGTTTATTCCTGATGGAGAAGAAAAAAAAAATGAAATAAAAATCTTGGTATTTAAGGTTATTTTCGATGACTGGTTTTTATTAGTGGCTAGAAAGGCTAGAAAAACCCAGGTGAGGCCGGACGACTGAAGTGGAAAAGTGATGGGAGTGAGTAGTCAGATTTTCGTTGCAATTGATGTTTAAGGGAGGTTTGATTGTAGATGGTGTTGCCTCTGAAATGCAGCCTTTCCTAACTTCTAAACAAAAATATTTCCATTTGAATGAGAGGGCTTACTTCAATGCGAAAAAAGCGCAGTTTTTATAAAATTAAAAACTTTGATCGCAAAATGACATAGCTTTCACACTATCTACAATTTTTTTCTATCATAAAATGAATTCGAATTGTTCGCTCAAATGAGGTTCTGCTCATTGGTAATACACTGCGTAAATTTCTTTGAATAATTTTCAATTTAAGACTTTTTATGAGCATTTGTTTTTTTTTCTACTTCTTTTTCCAAAGGTACGGATGTTTTTTCTGAAAATACAAATTGGAATGCGATGATATTTTAAACACAGGGTGAGAACATACAACATAACTAAAATTAATTGTTTCGTCTTGAAAATTTTAAATTCAACATAAATAATTTTTTTTTTTAACAAATGGAAATTTAAGAAGTTCGCCGCCTCTCACAGAATATTATAATACCAGAAAATCACGCCGAAAGTATTCGAACATCCACTAGGAAAAAAACATGTGAACGGTAAGAGTAGTTTATTGATTTGTGTAAATTTTCATTGGTCATAAACCAAGTAAGTTTCATTAAATTTTATTTGTGAATATTCTATGAACATGTTGAAAATAAAATAATGTTGACTTTACAACTATTTACAGTTACTTAAGGATACAATTCACTTCACGTGTCCTTATGTTGATCGGTTTTGCCCATATTTCTTTAAAGATTTTTTTTTTTTTTTTTTTATAAAAGTCTAGCTCATTATGTAACAAACACCATATAAACTCACATTTCTAACTTTGTACAAAAATTATAAAAATTCAACAAATTTTCACCAAACTTTGAAATTTCTGATTCAGATTTTTTATAGCCCATTAAATTTTATTCGTTTTTAGTATAAAAAAGTGCAAGTTTTAAGTGACTACAAAATACCGTTGATAGTAAATAATATTTTTTTTTGTGCTGATGGTGCAAGGCATTCTCTTCCATATAAAAAATTTTCGAACATACTTTGCATGGAGGAAAATGCGTGACACCGTCAGCAAAAAATGTGGAAAATCAGCGGTATATTGTAGCTACGTGAAACTTGCACTTTATTATGCTAACATTTAATGGGCTATAAAACTGCATACCAAAAATATCTCTGAAAATTCTGAATAAAAAGTTTAAAATTTTTATAACTTTTGTTCCAAATTTGAATAGTGGATTTAAATGGTGTTTTATAATATTTGATCTTCTGAACCGCAATACAAACAGGTTTCCTTCAGCATTTAAGAAACTATTTAAATAAGGAGATCGTTGTGAGCTTGGTTGGCGGGTATCATTGAGCGCAAACACACAACATCTTTTTTTTTTTTGTTCATACATATTTACACTCACCTTTATCTGCACCATTTCACGCATTTCGGTCTTATAACTGGAACAACGTGGCGGAAATTCCATACACCATTGTGAGCTGCGTATGCGCACTGGCTGCATCGAGGGTGTCTTCAATTGTTCCAAATAAGTTTCTTCGCGCACACAAATATGTGATTCAGCATCTAAAGCAACGCCCTGAATAGCATTATGTCGGCTAGCATCGCTGAAAGAGGAAGTTGGCGCACTAACATCCACTCCTCCTGCGATTATAGAGGCCGTGGTAGGCGCCGTTAAGTCAGTGTTGATGCGCAACAATTTTTCTTGTGCGCCAACGCAAAAGGGCACACAAATCAAAGTGAAAAGTAATGCAAAACCAAAATTCGAGTTGGTATCACCTTTGGCGTTTTTCAATTTCACATGCTTCATTTTATGGCATTTGCTGAATTTGTTTTTTTTTTTTTTTGTGAAAGGATATCACTTTGCACTCGAGCGCATGTAATAAATATGGAAGTTTTCAACGTGTTTTTTTTTAATATTAAAGTTGCAGAAATATCTGGTTTTATTAATATTGGATTTAATGTTTAGCACAATTTTTTTTTTACTTTTTCGATATTTTCGTCAAATTCGAGATTTTTTAAATTTGAGTATTTTCAATGAGTTTTTATATTTTCGTATAAACACAATTTTTTCTTTTTTACATTATTTTTTAATATTTCACTTTCTTATTTGGTCACAAATAGCTATTTCTAGTATTTTCTTCCATTAAAATATATTTAAATTTCACTTCACCTTTCCATTCGCAGACAATCGGTCTGTTCATTCTAAATGCGTTGAAATGACTGTCGCCAACTTGCACGGAAATAATTCTAGAAGTTCACGTTAAAAAAAATTATTTCATTGCTATATCAAACAAACATACACATGTGTACGGTGAAATTCACAAATACACCAATAACAACATTTTACTTAAATTCTCCAACATCAACTTAATTGAAAGTCTCCAGCACGCAGCCATATGCATGCGCATACACACACGCAGACGCACGCACGCACGCACGCACGCACTATGTAAGCTTAAACAAATTGCAATTGAATGATCGCATTGCGAACGCACTGAAATCAAAGCTATGCAACAGCAATCAGACAACAGTCAGCCAGTTCGCCAATCAGTCCGCAACAACAATGATAACAACAACAAGTACGCTCAACATAATCAGCAGAAAATTATTTAATTGAAGCGATAATGTCCTTAGCAGAGCAACTTGTTTGTACAATCACAGATTTATTCATGAGCATTGTTGTTGCTATTGTTATGTTGCGTTTGCGTAGTCGTTGCTTGCTGCACTTAGCTCCAACTCAATTTTATTGTTTTTCGCTCAATTTAAAAAGTGTAGGTATGCGCGTTGTTGTTCTTGTTTTACAACAAATGTAAGCACTTGATTTTCTCCTGGCCTCTTGACATTTTATTCTTTACACTTTTTTTGTTTTGATTTCTGACCCGCTCATTAAATTATTTGAAAATGTGTGTGTGTGCACGTTTTCTGGTATATTTGTTTTAGTATCGAGATTATACGTGATCTTTTGCAAACTTAGCTTCGTTATTACAACATTGCTTTCCGACGACAGAATTCGAATGCAGGCGGAAGGTAGAGGTTTGGGGCTTAAGTATGTACGTCGTCAACTTACTTGGGCACTGGCAAAACTTGAGACATGATAATTTTTCTATTTTGGTGTAGTGGTTAGTGGTGCGAACTACAATTTCGCAGGCCTGGGTTCCAACAAAAAAATTAAGTAAAAACCAAAACAAAAAAAAATGTTTCTAATAGCGGTCGCCCCTCGGCAGGCAATGCCAAACTAACGAGTGTAATTCTGCATAAAGGTGTAGGTCCCTTCTTTGTGCGTCAACATCAAGGCGCAAGCCACAAATCGGAGGACAAGCTCAAACGCTAACATATTGCTTAACCGCCCATCTATTATTATTATTTTTTTTTTTTTTTTTACATACTTTTTGTACTATTCTATTCCATTCTCTTTTATTTAATTTTTTCTTTAATTGTAATTATTTTTTTTTATTTGTAGTTTTTTTTTAATTTACTTCCATTTATTTTATTTTATTTTATTTCATTATTTTTATTGTTTTTTAGTTATTCTATTTAGTTAGTCTATTCTATTCCATGTTCTTTTTTTTATTTTATTTTATTTACTTTCTTTAGTATTTTCGATTTAGTTTAATACAATTTTTTATACAACTCTTTTATTTAAAATTTTTAAATTTATTTCATTTTATATTCGTTTTCTTTGTTTTCGTTATTTCTCTTGATTTTTAATAACACTATTTTAATTTGATTTGATATTTTTTTATACTATTCTATTTATAACATCTTTTATTTTAGCTTCTTCATTTTTTAATATATTTGTTGTTTTTATTTTGTTTCATAAATTTTTTTAATTAATGTTTTTATTTCATTTAATTTTATTTTAATTTTTCTTAATTAAATTTTCATTAGTTTTCTTGATTTTTTTATCTTATTTAATTTAATTTAATTGTATTTGTTTCATATTATTGTTTAATAATTTTTTTATTTCACATTTTTTCATTATTTCATTTTATTTCATCTATGTCATTATGTATTTTATCCTGTTATATGTATTTTTTTTTTTATTATTTTGTTCTATTTTATTTTATCTTTTAATTTTTATTTTATTTTTACATATTTTTTTTTCATTTTGTTCTAGATTCTTATTTATTTTATTTAATATGTATAATTTATCAATATTCGTTTCGTATGTATTTTTTTTTTAATTTTAGTTTATTTTATAGCACACAATTTAATTTTGCCAGTATTTGATTAAATTTTTATTTCATTTATTTGATTTAAGATTTTTATTTCATTTTATTTTAATTTATTGTTTTTAATTTAATCTTGAATTATTTTATTTCTATTTTTAACTCAATAGATTTCGTTTTGTCTTTAATTATATTTTATTTTATTTACATTAGTTTACTTTTTTCTATTTTTATTACTTATGTATATTATTTTATTTTATCTAATTTTTATAGACTTTTTCTTTATTCCATTATTTATTTTTGTTTTAGTGAATTTTTTCTTACTCTTTTTTATTGAATTCAATTTTTATTTATATTTAATAATTCAATTTAAAGGAAATTATTCTTTTATTGTTTAAATTTATTTAATTATATTTTTGTTTATTTATTTATTCATATTTGTTGAATTTTTTTATTTGTTTTTATTTTATTTTATTTAAACTATTAATATTATTTTATGTTTTCTGATTTAATAATGTTTTTTAATGCCATTATTTTTACAGTTAATTTTAGCTTAATATTTTCTATTTAATTTTATTTTTCTTAACGTTACTTTATATTTTTAATTTTATTTTACTTTATTTACTTTAAGGGTATTCATAATACACGATAAACTGCCGATAAACGTGATAAAATTATTAATTCTATACAAATTTATAGTGAATACCTCTTTTGTGAATTTTCTACGCTACTGCGTTGGTTAATGATTTTCAGCATTTACACTTATCAACTCGCTTAGTATTCATCAATTGCCTATCATACGCCTTTTTTTTGCAAACTCATCGCCCACTGGCAGTAGATCATAACAAATGATTGTAAATTCAATAAAATTAAAGCGTTAACCAACATTTACACAAATACATGTTTTCGAGAAATTATTCACACACACATAAATTTAATGCGTATGCATGTCTTTAAGTATATACATATGTATGTAGCTAAGTTTATACAAATAATGTTAGGAGACTTGTAAGTAGTTATTGTATCAACGACCGTTTCCCAAGATCAACAACAACCAGCACGTTCATATGTACAGTAGTTGTCAAATGTGGACGAATGGTGTCTGGTTTTCAAGCTAATTTTTTTGTTATTTTTTTATACAAATATGGTTTATGCTTTAACAAAAACCATATGAATCAAACTTTTGGGCTTTACACAGAATTTAGAAAAATTCCAAAATTTTTTAACTAAATTTCGAGCTTTTCAACCAGAATTTATATAAAATTTTTGGGTATGCAGTTAACACGCTTTGCAAGAGCGACTAAAAAATCGAACTGAGTTTGAATATATATATATTTTTTTTGCTGAAGGCTTTTTCGGTTTTTTTTCATATAAATAGCGAAATTTAGGAAAATTGGCATTAACTTTTTTATTTTTTTCGCAAACGCAAGAAATTCATGTTTATATGGAAAAATGTGCAAAACGCCGTCAACAAAAAAAAAATTATTAAAAACAAATGCGGTTTTTTAGCAACTCAAAGCTTGCACTTATTTTACGAAAATATTATAAAAATTCTGGTTGAAAAGCTCGTAATTTAGATACAAATTTGCGGAATTTTCCTTAACTCTATAAAAAGTTTGAAAGTGTGATTTATATGCTTTTTGACAAAGCATGAACCTTGTTTTTATAAAAAAAAATTACAAAAACATTTTAGGTTAACCATTCATACACTTTTGACTGCCACTGTAGCTACGAGTATATTCGAGTCAAAAAAGTTAACAAATTCACAGCCGACATTAACTGCGACTTTAAACGATCTGTAAGTCCAAGTAATTCACACAATTTTTTACCTACATACATACATTGTACATATGTTTATACTATGTATCTATAAACAGCCCAACATTTTTATTCTCATTCTGATCGGCAGTGTCTTGGCACATCGTAGAACGTCGCTAATTTATTAACATCTTACGCTTGTTTCCGCACCCAAACTAGATGTGAAATATGTATTTGTGTGTACCTAAATGTACATGTATGTATATACATATTTATGTATAGGCGTATAAAAACGTGTAAATGTGCATAAAACTTCCATAAAGAATTTCACTTTACATATCCGCCTAAGCACTTCTCATTAAGTTTAAACAACTCAATAATCTAATAAAATATAATATTCACTTTCACATGATGGAAGAATGTATGTATGTACCTAACTATATGTGTACATAGATCTAGACATAGAGATATGTATATAAATTGCACTTAATATGGCTAGCAGGAAATGCTACAAATTTCGCCGCAATATTTATTGAAGCGAAAGTTTAGAGATTAGTCCGTACGAAGTAAGAAAGGCATACAAAAGCTATTTGTATGTTAACACCCTGAATTTAATAACAGTTCGGTCTAGTTGGGTACGTCAAGGAAGCCGTGCTTGCTCTTCTCGTGAATAAAGATAAAGGCTACCTGCACAAACTCTACTTCAGAGATTCAATAGGATAACTCGTTATAAGGACGCGTATCATCTCCGCTATGTGCATACATGAAAAGATTCAAATGAATTTACAACGCACCCAACCCAATGATGCTAGCGATTATGTGTTACTATGTATTTTGGAACGAACTTTGGGATTTATGTCAGCCTCAGTTTAGTTTTTATACTCGGAAAAATTAACTAAACTCAAAAAGTGTTATACATACATAGATTCCATCCAGAGGTGATACTCAATGGATATGACTTTACTGTGTCGGATCTGCTGTGCATCATTTCCCCAGAGACCTTATCGCCAAACAAGGAAGCCGAACTCAGAACCTATATTACATACAAATGGAGCCTTACTCGATATTTCAGTATATTCAATATTTTCAAGATATTCCAGGTTTAAAAAAAA